AGGGATCAGATATTTATCAGTCTCTAGATAGCGACATATCTGGGCATGGCCATGCACTTTCCCAAGTCCTACTATTCAGTGGGCCCATTGACATTATACTTCTATACAGTAGAAGGGACAGATCCTGTATCTGTTATTCACATCTCTAAATATGCTTAGCGGCATACCCAACGCATAACTGTACGTCTACCAGTATTTCAGATAGCATTAGTTATGAATCAAAGCATACGGCCCCACATATCAGAGAATGTAATAACTTCAAGTCTGAGGATAGTTATAGCAAGTTCGATTTGAGAATACTGATAAACACATTACTGTAGATCCATGCAGTATTCTCAAGATGGGTCAATCCAGTCACATATTATCTATATAATATGCACCTATGTACAGATTAAGATATCACAATACCTATAGTCTATGAGATGCAACTATCTCATCTCGTACGTACTAGTCTTGATACGTTATGACGTCCGTATTATCATAAAGTGCGACTAGGGATATTCTAGACATAGCCTTCGTCAAGAAGTAACAGTCTCATAATCAGAACATCGTAGTCCTCATCTATGTTACTGAAGCGCTATCGTCTATGGATTGAAGCTATGTTATGTTACACGAGATATAAAATATACTTCAAGGCCTTTCATTCATGATAAAGTGTACAGTTACAAAGGTATTTGATTGCCGCTAGGGCACCTAAATACAACAATCTCCCACTTGCCCTAAGGCCAATCAAGCATTTCTCGAATGCCCATGGACCACGTATGACTCTCGTGTTTAGGCTTTCCCAAAGCCTTCGTCAACGGATCCGCGATATTGTCGTCTGTACCTATCTTGCAAATCTCAACGTCCCCACGTGCAACAATTTCTCGTATGATGTGATAACGTCTAACGATGTGTTTGGTTTTCTGGTGAGACCGAGGTTCTTTCGCTTGTGCAATTGCCCCATTGTTGTCGCAAAACAACGGTATAGGGTCCGTATTATCATAAAGTGCGACTAGGGATATTCTAGACATAGCCTTCGTCAAGAAGTAACAGTCTCATAATCAGAACATCGTAGACCTCATCTATGTTACTGAAGCGCTATCGTCTATGGACTGAAGCTATGTTATGTTACACGAGATATAAAACATACTTCAAGGCCTTTCATTCATGATAAAGTGTACAGTTACATAGGTATTTGATTGCCGCTAGGGCACCTAAATACAACAGATGGACCAGGCGTCAGGGGCTAGTGCAGTCGGTTTTATGGTGGCTCTAAGTGGGTGGGACGGTTGGCTACGGTTTTGTTGGCCTTCGAAATGCCGGTTGTTGGGATGCTCACATTTCAAACGGGGATGGTTGGCTATTTCGTCCTCGCTGAGTCGACTCTCGGAAGGTTGGATTTCGGTTAGCCAAATTTCTGTAATTTGGCTCGGTGTGCCGATGTTAGGTGTGTCGGCCCTGCTCTAGCTCCTTCCCTTCTGGCGTTTGGTTCTTCCATTACACCCACCCAGGTGGATGGACCAGTCGGCGGCGTGGCTAAAGTAGACGGTTTTATGGTGGCTCTAAGTGGGTGGGATGGTTGGCTATGGTTTTGTTGGCTTTGAAATTCCGATTATTGGGATGCCGGCATTTCGAATGGGGATGGTTGGCTATTTCGTCCTCGCTGAGTCGACTCTCGGAAGGTTGGATTTCGGTTAGCCAAATTTCTTTAATTTGGCTTTGCCGTTGTTAGGTGTGTCGGCCCTGCACTAGCTCCTTCCCTTCCGGCGTTTGGTTCTTCCGCTCCACCCACCCAAGTGGAAGGACCAGGCGTTGGGGGCTAATGCAGTTGGTTTTATGGTGGCTATAAGTGGGTGGGACGGTTGGCTACGGTTTTGTCGGCCTTCGAAATGCCGGTTGTTGGGATGCCTGCATTTCGAACGGGGATGGTTGGCCAGTTCGTCCTCGCTGAGTCGACTCACGGATGGTTGGATTTCGGTTAGACAAATTTTGTTAATTTGGCTTGGTGTGCCGATGTTAGGTGTGTTGGCCCTGCTTTAGTTCCTTCCCATTCGGCGTTTGGTTCTTCCATTGCACCCACCCAGGTGGAAGGACAAGACGTCGGGGGCTAATGCAGTCGATTTTTGGTTGGCTCTAAGTGGGTGGGACGGTTGGCTACGGTTTTCTTCTGTCTTACATGGCACTCATCGACGCGACTGTCATGGGCACCAGGCATTCGCTGGTGGGCTGACTGCTGAGTTAAAAACTTGGCCTTTGGTCTGTTGGTGGGTTGTGCGGTGTGTATGAAGTTTGCGATGCGTAATTGTGTGTGAGATGTATTTGGTTTTCATGGTCAGGTTTGATCCTTGCTGTAGCAGCGAAAACTTGCCGTGAAAGCCTTTTCAATTTGGTGGGTTCCGCCTTTGTCTGCAATGGTTTCCTTTGTTCTGTACCCTTTCGGTGGCATCCTTACGTTCCAACTGCTGAGTTCTGTCGTGTGCCTGCTCGTGTGGGAACCAAAGGGTTGGCATTCGATTGACGCCATGGCACCGCTTGTGNACAAGACGTCGGGGGCTAATGCAGTCGATTTTTGGTTGGCTCTAAGTGGGTGGGACGGTTGGCTACGGTTTTCTTCTGTCTTACATGGCACTCATCGACGCGACTGTCATGGGCACCAGGCATTCGCTGGTGGGCTGACTGCTGAGTTAAAAACTTGGCCTTTGGTCTGTTGGTGGGTTGTGCGGTGTGTATGAAGTTTGCGATGTGTAATTGTGTGTGAGATGTATTTGGTTTTCACTGTCAGGTTTTGTAACGCCCTACAAACCGGCCCAATAGCTAGCCGATATTTTAAATAAACAAATATTGAGACTTCGATCTCTTTAAATGGCTTTCCAAAGCTAATGTATTTTAATTATAAAAGATGTTTTTATAACGGGCCACTCGACATTAATTAAGTAAATAAATTAATTAATGATTGGGATGGATCCGGAAGTTTGAAAATAAAGTTCTTAGAAAAATTATTGGAACATGTCATTAAATTCGTTTTGACGGTCTGATTCCGGAAACACAAACACATCTCAATTTGGACCCGTTCGGGGGAAAAACCACGTACTGTTCAGGTCAGATTTTTACATAACGGAATAGAATTTAGGGAATTAATTTCCCATTCATTCCCACACGCCACTCACCCTTTTACTCTCCCATAACCCCCCATTCAATACCCCTTTTAATTCCCTCCATTATTCCTCCATTAAATCTTTTTCAATATAAAACTCTCTCCTCTCTTCACTTCCCCATCACATCTTGTAACTCCATAACATCCATCTCTCCCTCTTCCCCTCATTTGTTTCGGCCAACCAACAGCAGCAGCTAGAGGGAGAGTTTCCGGCGAGTAGACGAGGAGGAAGAAGAGAAGGAGGTGTTCACGAGAAACCATTCGTCGTCATCCGTTCATCTCGTTTTCCGTTCATCAACCCCTTCAAAGAGAGGTGAGTAGTTGTCTCCTCTAATTCTAGAACATCAAGTCATAATCTATGTTGTTATATTCATAGGGTTAGCGTACGCAACCTACGTAGAAACTATGCATGTTCGTAGGTTAACCATCCAACATACGTGAGTCCGTGTTATCAAGTCACGAACTCGTTAATACAAGCATTTTGAAACTCCGTATATTCATGGAATACTTAACATGTAATCATAAACGTTCGTTTCAAAAACTCCCAAAGTATTGATGATAATCAAACAATCAGAATGGGAATAAGCGTGCCTTGATAATCGATTTACAGAACGGAATAATCGACTATCAGGTCACGCTTAACTCTTCAGTTGATCCAGCATAGTGTGACAATCAATTATCACATAAGTGGTAATCGATTATCAGACCCTGCAGATTCTTGAGTCAGAGCTGGTTCACTTGATAATTGATTATCACAAAGCAATAACCGATTATCAGGGCTCTCTGAACTTAGGCCTTCCTGAACAAACCAACTTGACAATCGACTGTCATAGGGTGACAATCGACTATCACAGTCTGCGGGACCTTGGGCACAGAAGCAGCACAACATGATAATCGATTATCAGCAGAAGACAATCGATTATCAGCCAGTTCTGAACCTAAGGCCATCATGTTGAACAAATTGTAATCAAACCCATATGTATGCGTTAAATTTAACTTCTTTCTTCAATCAATGCATTCAATTCATCATGTTCATCCTAGACGCATGTCCTAGGGTCATCATCATGTGCATACCGCTGTAGGGAGGTCAGGCTTTCGTGCGCCTACTACATTGGGCCCGTCCAGGAACCTTTGGGATCCAACGGGTTTTCATTAGGTGGGCTTTGTGTACGTACATGGTAGTCAGGCTATGGCTACCACCCAGTTTTGCTAGTTCACTTGCGACGTTTCGTCGAGCCCGGCTCATTACCAGAGTGCATGGGTGATCTTGTCAAGTGAGACTAAGTCAGGGGTATCATGCATCAAGTCATATCGTCATCATTTATGTTTCATGTCACGTCAACATTCAATGTGGTTATCATCATCATGTATGATTCCCATCATGTCCATATTCAATGTGGTTGTTATTCATTTTGTTATGTGTAATAATATCCCATCATGTGCAAATTAATCAGTTAGCAAACATGTGGTTTTCCGTACGTTAAGTACAGGTATTTATATGTGTATAACCATATGGGTTATCACTTCATGTTCTTTTGTTAGATTCACTCCTCAGCTTTTGCTGAGCGTGTAGTTGTTTTTGCTACACGCAGGTAGACATGAGGGTACAGGTGCTAACCCTGGAGGACAGTGATGATGGGAGGATGGGTGGCGCACGGACGAGTTTATTAATTAACCACTTAATTAATTAATCATTTGGGCATGAACCCACCATATGTCGTTTTACTTATTTTGGACTTATCAATTTACTTCCGCTTTTACTCTGCATTTAAATCACACATGTTTTGGAATTAATTCCCTAGCATTTATTTCACCAATTAATCACAACCGTTTCCAAAATAAATGGACATTAATGCACTTTCCTCTACGGACGGTTCTCGGACCGTCCATGTAACACTACCGGTCCGTTGGGTCGGGGGTGAACCGGGTCCACGGAAGGCGGGTGTTACAATTTGGTATCAGAGCAGTTCGATTTTGTGAAAAAAACAAAAAAAACATATTTTGTCATCTTGGTCAAATAGTATATTCAAAAATTCCATAGCCGCATCTTCCATCACATTATATTTAATTCATTTATATGTCATATTGTAATTAGTTTTGGTTTAAGCTCTTCTTATAGAGAATGAGCCAAGCAGTAGGTAATGACGGACAGGTAGATCCACATAGGAGTGCCTGAGCACGTGAGCGCACATCGGAACGTCATACTAATTGCGTTATACGCTCACTTGTTCCCCATTTTGATACTGTACGATCGTTAGATGAGTACCATTAGTACCGGAAGCGTGTCAAGCGTTGACTCCAGTCGAACCTTCGTGCTCGGTAAGAGATGAAAGAACAAGAGGAAAAGTTACGATTCAAAAGAGCGCTACCAACGTGCACACCGCAAGGCTCGGATAGCAAAGTTAAGAATCTGGAAGCGCCGGAAGGTAGCAAGGGAAAGAGATGACCTAGAGGAAACGTTCAGTGTGGACTCTGCTAATAGCATCTGCGGCGCAGGTGGAGATAATCTTCCAGTGGACTCAGCCCGACTAGACGAGTGGGAGTGGGTTGCCTGCTAAATGATGACATAGTCGAAGCCGTAATCAATACAACATTTGATCCCACTTATCTAAACCAAATATGTTCCTTGAATGAAATTCGTCAATTGCTCTTTAATCCATTATGCCATCGTATGCTTCACAAAACAAAGTTTTGGGTATCGCACTATCTCCCTAAACACGTGAGGTGCGACTTGGGGAGAATTTCGGGGACGAAATTCCTTTAAGGGGGAGATAATTGTAACGCCCTACAAACTGGCCCAATAGCTAGCCGATATTTTAAATAAACAAATATTGAGACTTCGATCTCTTTAAATGGCTTTCTAAAGCTAATGTATTTTAATTATAAAAGATGTTTTTATAACGGGCCACTCGACATTAATTAAGTAAATAAATTAATTAATGATTGGGATGGATCCGGAAGTTTGAAAATAAAGTTCTTAGAAAAATTATTGGAACATGTCATTAAATTCGTTTTGACTGTCTGATTCCGGAAACACAAACACATCTCAATTTGGACCCGTTCGGGGGAAAAACCACGTACTGTTCAGGTCAGATTTTTACATAACGGAATAGAATTTAGGGAATTAATTTCCCATTCATTCCCACACGCCACTCACCCTTTTACTCTCCCATAACCCCCCATTCAATACCCCTTTTAATTCCCTCCATTATTCCTCCATTAAATCTTTTTCAATATAAAACTCTCTCCTCTCTTCACTTCCCCATCACATCTTGTAACTCCATAACATCCATCTCTCCCTCTTCCCCTCATTTGTTTCGGCCAACCAACAGCAGCAGCGAGAGGGAGAGTTTCCGGCGAGTAGACGAGGAGGAAGAAGAGAAGGAGGTGTTCACGAGAAATCGTTCGTCGTCATCCGTTCATCTCGTTTTCCATTCATCAACCCCTTCAAAGAGAGGTGAGTAGTTGTCTCCTCTAATGCTAGAACATCAAGTCATAATCTATGTTGTTATATTCATAGGAATAGCGTACGCAACCTACATCGAAACTATGCATGTTCGTAGGTTAACCATCCAACATACGTGAGTCCGTGTTATCAAGTCACGAACTCGTTAATACAAGCATTTTGAAACTCCATATATCCATGGAATACTTAACATGTAATCATAAACGTTCGTTTAAAAAACTCCCAATGTATTGATGATAATCAAACAGTCAGAATGGGAATCAACGTGCCTTGATAATCGATTTACAGAATGGAATAATCGACTATCAGGTCACGCTGAACTCTTCAGTTGATCCAGCATAGTGTGACAATCGATTATCACATAAGTGGTAATCGATTATCAGACCCTTCGGATTCTTGAGTCAGAGCTGGTTCACTTGACAATCGATTATCACAGAGCAATAATCGATAATCAGGGCTCTCTGAACTTAGTCCTTCCTGAACAAACCAACTTGACAATCGACTGTCATAGGGTGACAATCGACTATCACAGTCTGCGGGACTTTGGGGACAGAAGCAGCACAGCATGATAATCGATTATCAGCAGAAGACAATCGATTATTAGCCAGTTTTGAACCTAAGGCCATCATGTTGAACAAATTGTAATCAAACCCATATGTATGCGTTAAATTTAACTTCTTTCTTCAATCAATGCATTCAATTCATCATGTTCATCCTAGACGCATGTCCTAGGGTCATCATCATGTGCATACCGCTGTAGGGAAGTCAGGCTTTCGTGCGCCTACTACATTGGGCCCGTCCAGGAACCTTTGGGATCCAACGGGTTTTCATTAGGTGGGCTTTGTGTACGTACATGGTAGTCAGGCTATGGCTACCACCCAGTTTTACTAGTTCACTT